TTATATTATAACTATAATATTATATATATATATATATATAATTACAATATAATATATAATTATTATTATATTATGTACAATAAATATATTATAATTATAATGCACTATAATGAATAATAATATTAGAATTATTAGTATAATTATGGTATTATTTGTTAAAATATTACAACTATATTATATTATATCATATTATATATATTATATTGTGATATTATTATATATTATATTATAAGATATAATTACATTACAATATATTATATATTATTATAGAATATTAAATAAATATATTATAATTTATAACTATATTATAAATTAATTATTATATTATTATAACTATATTATATTATAATATTTTTTATTATATATTATATTATATTATAATATATAACTACTATATAATATATTTTAATTATATTATAATATTAAAGGATAATTATGAAAAAAAAAAAAGAACTTAGAATAGTCATTCCTCCCATATGAGGAAGGAATGATGATTCACTCAAAATGAGTAAATGACCATTCTTTTTAAATGATTATTCATTTCTTATAAATCCAACCAAACATCAAACTAGAATTTTATTCCATTCTATTCCATTTCTTTCCACTCTATTCCATTCTATTACAATCTATGGATGACCTACGCATTTAAAAAGAACAGTGAAAAAAATCATAAAAATTACTCAAGTTTCCACGTCCTTATTATTATTTTCTAAAAACTAGAAAAGGTGAATTTGTCAAAAGGGTCAAAAGATGTTATTGACCTAGAAAAGATTCAAATTTAATATGGATTTTAAATTCAGAGGTACAGTTTTGAGAACATTTAGGCCTCATTCATTTCACCGATTCGAGTTTTTAGTTTTAGGTTTTTACAGTAAAAAACTCTCAGAAAATGTCACATCTAACTTTTTCTGCTACAGTAAAAAGCTCTCATAAAACATTACATCTCAGCTTGAATTAAACACTCGAATCTGCGAAGTGAATGAGGCCTTAATAGTTACTTTTTTGATAAACTCAAAATGCATTATATATAAAATTGTAAATATTCCTTTTTTTTTTGGGAGAAATTTAGAATATGGTTGGTAGAGTAAAGAAGGGAATAAAGAAATTAGAGAGATTTTGGTGAAAAAAAAAAAGTATGTTGGGTTGTTTGGTTGGGAGGAAATTACGAAGTAAAAAAAAAAAAGATGAATTTATAGGACTCATTACTTTTTTTCAACTCTCTAATCCTTTTAACTTTTAAAATAAAATATGATAAAAACAAAATAAATAGTGTGCCAATAAACTATTCTAACCTTAACCATATTTTATCTTTTTATTTGTAGGGAGTTTTTATAGCAGGATCAAAAAAATAAATTACTGTTATTTTTCTTAACCGTCATATTTATATTACAAACTATTTATTCTGTATATTTTTTTTAATTTGACCCTTCCGATAGGAGATCCTACCAGAGAAAGTCCATTTTTATAAAGATATGATTGTAAAGTAGTTGACATACTTCCTTCCATCCAGGATTGTAAAGTATTTGACATATTGGGCGCGTTTGAAACTCGTTCCAAAATGATTTTATTTTTGTATGAAAATGAAAATGAAAACGTTTTCAATCTCAGACAAATCATTTTTAAAAATGCATTTCATAGTTTTATCAAAAGATTATTTTCAGTATAAAAAAACACATTAATGTCTCTCTCTGTGCTCGAGCGAAGAAAACGAAAACAAAAAATGAAAAACGATTAAAAGTCATTTTTCATTTCTCTATTATTTTATACTAAACTAAAAAATTGTTTTCATTTCTATTTTTTGTCTTTATTACGCTAAACGCCGTTTTAAAAATATTTTTTTTTTAAAAAAGGGTTCAATTCCAAACACAACCATTATCTTTATCTGTACTTTTCCATGCCTTGCACCGTGAGCAAATTTCTATCAAAAAGATCTCTTGTATAAGGAAAATCTAGTTCAGTTACAGGGCAAAAAAGATTTTAATCAAAGAGGATCTATCTTTTGAAGAAAATCTAGTTCAAATACTGGACAAAAAAGACAAAGGACCGAGGAATAGAGTAAATCCTCGGTTAAGGTTTTGAAGAACCCGTTTGATTCATTAATTTGAACACATGATTTTGATTCTGTCTCTCATAAAAAAATTTGAATAGAAGAAGTTCTTGACAAGTTGTTCTCTCATAAAATTTAAATTCAGAATTAAAATCATTAATTTAAACTATGAACCAAATGGCCAGTAGTATACTCAGAAAGTTAGAAGAGCCTGCATTTTAAAAAGAAGATTGTAGTAGAGCTAAATACTTGAGTTCTGAGGGCAGAACTTTTGTAAGGTAAGGGAGATTTGTGACCCAACCTTAAGCTAATCTCTACTTTTTCTTCTTCTTCTTCTTTCTTTCTTTTTTTTTTTTTTTTAATGAAATGGGATAATGTATTCCAGTTCATGAAAATACATACACCAACTCCGACTAGAAAACCACAAATTAGAGGAAAACTTAAACCTCAATAAACAGTCGTATCCATCATTAAGTTTGAATGAAACGCTTAAGAGGAACAAACGTGTACTAAGTTTTATAACCGGACACCCAAGAAGGTACACAAAATATTGAGCACACACAACGCTCTTTGACAAATCCTCTACAATTGATGGACAAAATCGATTGACGGAAATTGAGAGGCCTCTAGCACCAAGGCCACACGAAACACCTCCATAAAACAAATCAAGCAGACAAACAGTAGAAACTAATCCTACAAGATCAACCAAAACCACAAACAACATGGGGTAAAAACCACCATTATTACAAACAAGAGCACACATAAAAATTAAAGAAAAACTCCGAGCACTGCCGTCATAACCCTCTAGCGAATGGGCAATCGGCGAAGGAATCGTTGAGGAAGTTAGCTGGCTTCTAGAGACGCGCAATGATGTCAATGAGGTGCAGGCAAAAGCGAAACATGACGAACACGCGCCACAATCGTTATCGCCGAAAGAGACGCCATCATCGCCAAAAGAAGCCCACCATTATGCTGAACAAAACCCCAAGAGATCTCAACTACCAAACACCGAGTGTGCCGAAAACTGCAGCCCAACCGTTCGGCTTTCAAGATCCAAACCGATTTTGATTCATCTAAATGAAGCCATCACGCCATACACGACCCAACACCATTGAGAAGCCTATGAAGAGGCGAGCCGGAGGAACAAGTTTTAGGGCCGGGAGCCCAGCGACATGCCCGGAGTCGGCCCCAGAGCTCTAGTCGGAGTTTACTCTTCTTTCTCTGGTTCGTTTGAGAGAGAGAGGGAGAGGAGGCGAAAACGTTACATGACATATGTTAATCAATATTTCTAATCTCTAGTGATGAGAATAATTTTGTAGTTACCTGAATATCGTATATAAAAGATTCTAGCAACTAGAGGTAGCCAATCCTACTACCTACGGTACCCTATCATAATACTAATGAAATTTCGAACAATCATTGGTATCATACTTGAAACTTCGACGTAGCCGACGGTACTATTGTCATTTGTCTGTTTTTCTCATTGCCATTCCAACAAAAACACAAAGAAAGATTACGATAGAACCATACGCCCCTCCGCGGCAGCTATTATGTCGTGATGTCAAAGATCTATTCGTGGAGATATCCGCCTATGGTGTTGATCTCGTCATGGTGCCAAGAGGCAGCGGAGATTTCGCCCTGACCTGTGGGGTGGCATTGATGTTGTTGCAAATGTATTTTGTCCACCATTTTTTTTTAATACATACAAGAATTACAAGAGGGTTACCTTTCACTGCAAATTTCGATCCACAACCAAATCAAATATGGCGGCCCCTAATTACATCACGAAAAGCTCATCAATATATGTGGACCGATATTTTGAGGAACACTAATTATGTAGGCTAATTTATACAATTAATTTCATAAATATCTCATAAACTATGTACTATAGTTCAACATGCCCTCAAATTTTTTTTTTTTTAAAAAAAAAGGTTTCTTTTACCCTCTAAACTATATAAAATCATTTAAAACACCCTTGAATTAAAGTAATTTCATGATATAATATATATTGGATACACAATCAATAATTTAGGGGCAAACTAACTAAAAATCTTTGAAGACATTTATGAAATATAAGTGTGTCATATCATTAATTAATTTATTATAATAGGGGGACCTTCTGAATGATTTTGTGTAGTTCAAGAGACGAAAAAAAAAAAATAGAGGAATGGAGTAAAGGACCCTTTTCAATAGAGATTCATAAAATACCATTTTGCTAGAAACTATAAAACACCATTTTAAAAGACCAAAAGGATGATAATTTGGCCAAAGACCGCTTGGTCCACTGACATCCAAGGATTTCGGTGTGATGGGTTTAGGAGGAGATTGCGGGTTTGATCCCATGTTGTATGTATATATACCTGCGTACGTATACACATATATTATACGCTTATTAACTTTGTGACAAAAATCACTCTACATAAATATTAGATACACATACTAAACATGTCAGTTGTTCTCTTTATGATGTAAGAGTAAGCATACTAGTGGAGAAACAGATCATTAGACATGAAAAGCAGCTTGAAGTTCATATATATCTACGAGAAAAGAAACTTCAAGATCACAATCTTGTTGAGCATTCCTGTACTTACCACATGATATACTGCATTTGCATGAAACACGTATGGATACCATGCCAATTAACCGGTAACGAGATAAACTACTTTTACATAACATACATGCTCAAAATTTAAGCTTTAAACCATACTTATATTGACTACTACAAATCATATCGATGGTTGATCTATCTAACCCGATTATTTTAGCATTTCATATATTATAATGGCCGCCTTCATTTCGTTGCCCTGCTGATTTAACTTTACCATTTCATAGCCGCGAACGAATGAAAACTCTTTTCCTATCCCTTTGCACAAGATCCCAACCTTTCTTGTCTTCCGGTTTCTTCTTTGGAAGATCAGATTCTTCCACGCCTTTTACCAATATCTTGCATTGTTGCTTTACGTCGTTGACGTCTTCTTGCATCTTTTCAATGCTTGCTTGCAACTTTTCATCTGATATCTTCTTTAGAGCTTCTAATTCCGCCACACAGTTTGCAGATATCTTATTACAATGCTTTATCTTGTTCATGTTCTCTTGCACCTTCTCCATCTTTGCTCGCATCTCCTCCCTCACTAACTTGAGATCCCGTGGCTCGTTCTTGTCATCAAAAGGAAGCGGGAATGGCTGATCTTTCGATTCTTCTCGCTTTCTCCCTGCAAAAATGAATAAAAGAAAGGACAAAGAGAATTGGGATGTATTGTAAGCAAATACTTTTGAGTAGAGGTGTCAATTGGGCCGGGCCGTCCATGGACGGCCCGGCCCAGCCCGCTACAGTAGTAAATTCGGCACGGCCCGGCCCTGTACTGTTATGAGCCGGGCCGGCACGGCATGCCAGAAGGGCCTGGGCTGGGCCTCATGTTTGAGGCCCGCAGCCCAGGCACGCCCAAGGCCCAGGCACGCCAAGGCCCAGGCACGCGAAGGGCTAGGCACGGCCCAGGCACGCGAAGGGCCAGGCCCGCGACATGAAATTTTAATGAGGTTTGAGGCATTTTAGGGCCAATTGGCCGACCTATGCCGTCTGGCCAACCAGTCATTTTCTTATAATTATTCATATTAATTCAATAAAATCACATATTTTTGGGGCATATGATATATTACTTTTTTTTTGTCATCAAATTTGAAATTAAAAAAAAATCCTAAAAATATTACTAATCATAAGTGAAACTCAAGTGCATTAAGAAAATTAGGTTAAGATTGAGTTTAGACATAACAGAATCTTCTAGAAGCACTTAGGTTTTGTAATTTACTTATCCTAGAATCTGCACTCTTTTTTCCTTCGCTAAGGTTTTGTCCCGATCTCCCCACGAGATTTACTTGACAAGGTTTTTAACGAGTTGATCATTTATGTGTACTTATTTGTATTATCTTAATTCAATAAAATCACATATTTTAGGGACATATAATATATTTTCTTTTTTTTAAATAAATATTGAAAAAAAAAAATTAAAAGGGCCAGGGCCGGCCCATGAAGGGCCTGGGCCCAGGCCCGGCCCTGGCCCTTATGGACTAGGGCCAAGGGCCAGTGCTGGGCCTGAGGGTTTCTCCTCAGGCCCGGCCCTGGCACGGCCCAGGCCCGCCATGGGCCTGGGGTTAGAAGGGCCGTGCCGGCCTGGCACAGCCCTTTTGACATCTCTACTTTTGAGCTGCAGAAGTAGTGAATCATGTGAGTTCGAACTTCAGAGAAAAATTATGAAACACATGCTTTCAATGCTTTTCTCTAGAAAGTACGATACAAAGATTTTGGTTCTCTAGTGATGATAAAATCTTCGCAAAGGCCAAATCCTTCCTACATGTAACGTTTATAACATGGCATCTATACTCTATATAAGTATGATTTCATAAAAGGTACAACTAAAAAAATGATTTGGTAACTTAACAGAGTTTAGGCCCCGTTTTTTTCGAAAGTTCAAATCACAACTCAACCTTTTTGCTACGACATTTTCTTTCACGAAAATTTAAATTTCAGTTAAGTTTTCCGCTTTTCCACTCATACTTATGAAAGGAACAAACCCCTTAGTTTCATTTAAAACAGAATTCTAATCACTCTTTGCAATTATTCAATTCCCAATACAAACATCATTTCTCGCTTATAATGTAGTTTTCTGTTTTCTCTCTCTAAAATTTTCCCATATTCTACACATCAAGGTCAGAACCATGTTCTTCACATGAATTATTTATTAACCTCAACTGTTAACCACTAATTAATAACTTAACTCTACTTGAAAGTTAACATTTTAACTAAAGCCTAATAATCTGAATTTCTTAAAGAACAAAACTTTGATGTTATCAAAATTCTTTTAACAAAATTCGCAGGTTTTTCTAGAGGGAGAGAGAGAGACAGCAAAACAAACCAGTGGAGATTGAGAGAGATTCGACGAGAGTGGATTCGAATGCGAATTTGGCGATGTGGCTCAGAAACTCAGCAATCTTCCCTCGGCGGTAGGGTTTGAAATTGGGGCTTTTCCGATTGTGGATTCTCTCAATTCCAATTGTGTCTGCCATTTTCAACTACAAATTTCGGCTGTGAAGGTCAAAAACTCCGAAATTAGGGTTTGGAAACGAGCCCCTGATTTTGCTGCTCAGAGGAAAACGCTGTTTTTTTTTTTTTTTTTGGTAGAAAACAAACACAAACTGTTGGTTCGGGAGAAATATTCAGAAGATATATTTATTTCTCGTTTGGGGCAGAGAAAAGTTCGTTGCTTGCTTGACTTAACACTACAAATCATGTCGTTTCTTCATTTGGAGCTTTTCTTGTTGACGTGTTGTGTCGCTACGAGAAAACGACATGATTTTTTTACTAAGAAACGACATGTAGCTTTTTTAAGAAAGTTTATTGTCGTTTTCTCCATAAATCAAGCTTGTCGTTTTTGCTAAACATCGATTCTCAAAAATCGTTTTTTTTTTTTTTTTTTTTTTTTTTTTTTTTTTTTTTTTTGTACATTTACCTTCCTGAAGTTGTAGGACTTTGACTTCCTGAAGTTGTAGGACTTTGATAATTTGTCACTCAAACTTTTGGCTTTTGGTAGTTTGCCCTCTAACTTGTGAATCGTTACAATGTGTTTTATTTTATTCTTATTTTTTTTAATCATTAACGGATTGAGAGTTGAGCAATTAAAAGATTTATATTGCGTTTGAATTGAGATGTTATAATTTTTTGTTGAACATGCATTTTGTTAACAATTTAGCACAATAATCATCAAAATGAACCACATTGTAATAGGTATAAAAATTGTCAAAATTAAAAATTTAAGAGGCGAATTTTGTATAATATAGGAGTAGTTTCATATTTTAGAATAATAAAGGAGAAAATTGTTAAACTTAAAGTGTATAAGTCTGGATTTTTACCTCTTATTATTACTTAATACCCTTTTGACTAATATAATTATTTGACCAAAAATATATATTAATAAAGAGTAAGGGGTAAAAATTTCTCCTGAATTATTTGATCTTGGATTAATTACAAAAATTTCTCCTGAATTATATCCTCTGTAACACTTTGCCTCATAATCTTTAAAACGTAACATCTGTTCTTCCTGAACAATAAAATGTTAACAAAAAAAGCCCCTTCCTTAGGTTTTAACATAAATTGACTTTAATTTACTATTTTGAGAATAGTTTGATAATTTATGGTTTAAAATTTAATTTGAATCTAAAGTAATTTAAATATTAAAAAAGCTTAATAAATTTTTTATTAAAAAAAATTATAAAATTTTTAACCTACATTCAATCAATAATGAATGTATTATAAGTAAAGTTTAAATTTAAATTAATTTTAAGTTCAAACTAAAATTTTAAACCATAAAGCTACCAAATATCCCAAATTAACAAATCACATGTCAATTTCTCTTAAAAAAAACTAATAAAGGGATTTTTTTGTTAACATTTTATTGTTCAGAGGAGCGGATATTACATTTCAAATATCAGAGAAAAAATATTACAAATGGGAGTTTTTGTAATTAATCTTTTTAATCTTTTCTAAAACAGAACAAACGACAAATATTCCATTTCCATCCAATAAAAAAAATACATATATTCAGTACACACATTGTCACTTTCAAGCCACAAACCGAACAACATAAACAAATCCAATTCCCAAGCTCAAAAAACGCAAAAACAAAAAAAGAAAAAAAAGAAAAAAAAGGCAGAAAAGAGAAAGGTATAGAAGCTTCAACCATCAATTTTACACACAACAAACCAATTTCACTCCATGAAGCTTGTAAAAGTGAACTTTATTTTCGCATCTTCAAGGCAAAGGAAAGACCTTCCTTAGCTAATTCCTCCAAATTCCCAGCTGAAGGTTGGGCCCTAGCAACTTTGGCAATGGCCTCACTTTCTTCAGCATTTCCTCCTTCCAAGAAAACTCCCTTAATTTTTCCCTTGTGAATCCAATAGGTTCCAAACTTGGGTTCTTTAGATAATGGATTATAATCCCCAAAAATCACAGTGTCACCCACATTTTCCCCATAAAACTTCCATGACAAATCAAACACCCTTGAATAGAAATATGGGAGATAATCATACTCTTCAATAAGCTCACCATTTTCACTTGCTTTTATGTCCCTCACAGCCTGCTCTGCTGACTTCCTAGCATGGTCGACATGCTCAAGTCTCCTCATCTCATTGCACATTTTTAATGGAAAAGCGGCCACATCCCCGACCGCATACACATCCGAAACGCTTGTTCGGAAAAACCCATCAGTCTTAATCCCTCCTTTTTCCTCCTCAACTTGTCCTTTGAACAATGAAGTTAGAGGCCTTGCACCAACTCCAGCAACAACAATATCCGCCTGCAACACCTTACCATCCTTGAGCCTCACTTCTTTTACTTCTCCGTTGCTCGAGTTCGCGTTGAACCCGATCACGGTCGTGCCCTTTACAATCTTTACTCCTTTCTTGTCGTAGTAATTTTCGTAGAAAGAGGCTATCTTCGGGGTGAAAAGCCTAGGCAGGCACCATTTTTCGGGATAAACCATGGTGACATCGAAATTGTTGATTCTCATGGCTGCTGCAACTTCAAGGCCAATGTAGCCTCCTCCAACAATCACTGCTTTTCCTTTTCTCTTTGTTTTGATAGCCTCTATTAGCTTATCAGCATCACTAATTTCTCTCAAGTAGAAGATGTTCTTCACATTTTCTTCTACACCGAAATCCGATAACTTTAAGACAGTGGAGCCAGTGCCAATGATCAGAATCTGGTACTTGATGGTTCTTCCATTTGCAGTGGTGAGAGTTTTTGAAGCAAGATCTGCTCGGACTATTTCCGTGTTGAGGAACAACGAAATCCCATTTTCTCTGTACCATTCGCGGCGCAATCTTTGCCCTCCGCTTCCAACACATACATGGAAATCAGGAAGCCTTGAGGGCCTCTTTTGGAACAGATACGCCTTGCTGAGCGCGGGACGTTCATAAGGCGCCGCCGCTTCTCTCGAAACAATGGCGAGTTCTCCTCGTTTCAGCCCTTGCCTCCTGAACTCTCTTGCCGCGTAACCGGCGGAAACGCCACCACCAAGAATAGCATACTTGAAAATTTTCTCAGGGGATTCATAGTGACAGCCTTTCTTGACCAGTTCTTTGGCTTTTGTAGTTTTCTCGTCAACATGTTTACCAAGACAAACACGTGAGAGATATTTCTTTTCTCCAACCTTTTGCTCAATAGTTTGTACATCACTTTTGATCTTCTCAACTTCTTCTAGCCAGTCCCTAGCTTCCTGTTCAGGAACCTTTTTATCTTTTAATCTTTGTTCTATATCTTCCTGTTGGGTCATTAGGTCTTCCAAAATGTTGTTGAGATTTTTCATGTTTTCTTCAAGGTCTTTGTAGTATTTGTAGTATTTCACAACGGCCTGAGACCACGTGAACATCTTGATAGGCTGCATATTAAGTCTAATATTAGGAAAATTCCTACACAACAACGTTAAACTATGCATGAGAACTAACAAAGTAATAGGGGTGTCAATATAACTACGTTCGACTAAGGGGGTCTCATTGTAATTCTCACATAAGTTGGACATTGCATTGTAATTTTCCATGAGAAATCACAAGAGAAAAATACATGGCTAGGTGTTACTTTGGTCTTTTATTTTCTCTTTATTAATTGAATGACAATTGTTAATTTTTAAATGGAGTGACATAAATATTATCTTTTATAATCTTGAGTGGTATTTTTAGTTTACAATAATCAATGTACCAACAAGTAATTGTTGGAAATATGGGGGATCTCAATTTAGAAATTTAGGGGTTGTTCTTTTACATTTTTTAGTTAGGCATTCTTGAGTGAATATCTTGAGTTGAGTTTGAATTATAACTTGAGTTGAAGTTGTAAGTTGAGTTTGTGTTTAGTTGTGTACATTTGAGTTATATTTTGAGATAAGAATCTTTTTAAGTTTGTGTTTGAGTGAGTAAAAACTTAAATTTGTATTTAGATAGTAATTTAATAAAAACTCAATAGTGATGAAAAATTTTAATAGGGTATCTGGGTGGGGCTTTATTCGTCTTTTCATTGTCAACGCATAGAAAAAAAATCATCTCAATCAGGATTCAAACGAAAAAGTTATAGTATTTTTAAGAATACAAAAAATACTGTTCATTAATTTGAGTTCAAGTTTCTGAACTCGAGTTGAATGAGAAACTTGAACTCGAGTTTTAGTCTCAAACTCAAGTTTAAACTCGAGTTCAAACTTAAAAGAACATAAACTCAAATAAAATTGTAACTCGAGTTGCATTTTTTTGAGTTTTTGAGGATGTGAAACGCACCCTTAGGGTTTTGGAAATGGGATTTTATTAAAATTAGGTATTGGGATTAGTTATTTCTATTTAGACCTTTTTCTTTTTCAATTTGAGATAACAAAAATATATATTTGCTAATTCAAAAGGCTAATAAATAAGCGCTCTCTCTCTCTCTCCCTGAGTGGTTAAGGTTTGTTAATAAGCGCGGGTTTTTTAGGTTTGGAATCCGACACTATCAACTGGCTGGTTGCCAGATTTCTGGCCCTAGGATTGGAGATCCGGATGTCCTTGGTGGGCTGTGGGTGTTTGTTTCGGCTCCGTGGCTGTTGAGGCTGGGTTTTGGCAATGTTGAGGAGGTGGAGATCAGATTTTCATTTGTGTCCGTGGGCGACAAACACGCTTTCTCGGTGCCTTGACCCCCTCATTGTGGTAGATCTTCGGGTGGGGAGCATGGGTGGAGTTTTGCTCGTCGGCTTGAGGCTTGTTGTGGCTCCGATGCTTTAGTTGCTTCTGGGTTTTGGTCCCCATGGTGTTGCATCTCCTGTGGTGGTGCGCGTCTCTGTGTTGACAGACAATAGCAACAACGCGTTGTATCTCACACGTTGGCGAAAGAATGACTCTCCTCTTGCCATCTTGGCCCTCTGTTGGTTTGTTTTCCCTGGGTTTGATGGCTGTGGTGGTCGGCTTGTAACCGTTTGTTCTCTCTGTGATGTTGGGGCTTCCTTTTCCATTTTGTTCATTCTGTTATGTTTTTTCTTTTTGTGTGAAATAAAAAACGTTGTTGTTGTTGTCATCATTAGGCCTCACAATTCGAGTAGCGACACGATAACACGATTCGAAACCCGCACAAAGTTAACGGGTTTGGGTTTACTATAAATGAGTTTAGGTCATAATAAGGTTGACACGATTAACATGATTAATAAATGAGTTGAGTTAGGGTTGACCTCCTAACACGAATTGACAACTATATGTGACATCTGCAATCTAATGATATGTGATATAACATGAAAGTTTTTATGACATTAAATACAAATAATGTGAATTTTAATATTTATAGGTAAAATTCATTTATTTTTCTTAAAGAAAAAGATAAATTGACCAATAAACATATTAAACATGTATTGACCGTATTAAATAAGTTAATATTATATTAGTTATTTATTCAATATATTAATTTAAATGGGTTGTACAAGTTGACACGATTAATACGGTTAATAAATTGATCGTGTTTGTGTTGACATTTTTGACACGTTTAATAAACATGTCGTGTTTGGATTGATATTTTCTGACACGATTAATAAACGGGTTGACACGAACATGACCCATTAACACGAATTGCCCCCTTAGTTGCCATGTTTTAAATGTTGGTTGTCGGTACAGTTTCGTCTTGTAATAATAAATATAGTTTTCCCACCTTTTAACTTTGTTTGTGTGTCCCACCCGTTGAGTTGGTTATCGTTAAGGGCTGTGACTAGATTTGTTTCTACATCGTGTTGCTTGTGTCCCCAGTATTTGGGATTTGGCCTTCATCAATTAGTTTTATCTATCGACTGTAGTGGTTTTTTCTAACGAACTTTGGTCATACTCAATTTTTATGTATCAAGCGAGTCTTTTGTCATTGTGTCTTGGCACTTGTGTTCGTCTTCGTATTTCATGTGTCTTTACTTGTGGATTCAATTAATTTATAGGGTTGAATTTCCTTTGTAGTCGGTGGTCATGTGTGAGTCGTTTTGAGTATGTAGTTTGCTATATGTGAAATGAAATTTTCCCTTGAAAAAGATAATAAATAATGTAAAAAATTTAATTGTTATATTAATGAATATGCAATAAACAATAATTGGTAAATATTCTAGGATTGGTAACTTTATATTTACAACGTAAATAGATTGATAAAAATGTTTAAAAGAATAATGAATTTATGAAGTAAATAAATTAGTACCTATTATGCAAAAAATTGATTTATTAAGTAAGTAAATTTATTATAAATTTGCTAGATGTATTAATTGTTTACATTGTTTTTATATTTCTTTTACTTTATCAAGTAAATCCGCTATTTATCAGATTAATCCTTTATTTTCCTTATTATTTTTTAATATTTTTAGTTTATATTCTAAATCTTATATTTACCAAGTACACACCATTTACTAAGTAAATCAATTAATTATATTATTTATAATATTTTTAGTTAATTTGTAAAATGAATCCATAATGTTTTTGGGCAAACACTATTTAGCGCGTAAATCCATTATTTATTGGTTTTGAAAAAAAGTATGCAATGTGCTTTTGGTTTTAGATTCTTTTTTTTTTTTTTTGGTACAAATGTACTCATATTGTGCTTCTTGTGTCTTTGAAGGGAAAAGTGATTTATTGAGAGGTGAAATTTTGTCACAAAATTCAAATTTTGTGTTGTACTGAAATAGAAAAGGTAAAAGTAATTATTTATGTTGTTTTCGCCTGTTAATTTATTTAGTGGATAATGTGGTAGTAATCTGCCAGATTACTCAGGTGACACGCACTAGAGACGACTGATGATGTGGGTTCATTTCGGGAATGACTCTAGTAGATTATTCATGGTAATCTACCAAATGATTCTGTCAACTGATATTGGAGACGGCCGGTGATCTGTGTTAAAAAGAGCAACATAATATGGTAAGTTACCGATGATAATCTACTAGATTACTCCGGCAACAGGTAACCAGTTGCCAGCAACGAGTTGCTCTGAAAAGGGGTAGGTTACATGTGGTACTCTTCTAGATTACTCGTCTACCGGCACTGGTTGATCGTCTCATTTTGGCAACATAATGTGATAGGTTATCGGTGCTAATCTTATACATTACCCTGTAATTTGGTGCTAATGACAATCCAAGGCAATTTCGACAAAACGCATTTTGTTGACCTTTAATTGATCCTCTGGAGTGGAAGAATTCTAACCCCTCCTATTTGAGTGGCTAAACTCTTACCTAACAACATTACTGATTATTTCTCTTAATATTTATTCACATGATTGTCGATTATCTAACGCATACAGATGAGAAGTGTTAGAATATGAAACTATTATTAGTCATCTCCTAATAATTTAAGTTTTTAAAAGAATTAGTAATCTAACATGATATTAGAACCTGTATGAGGACTTATAATTAAGCTTTTCGGAGAATTGGTAAATTAACACACTAACATAATATCATAAGATGTATGAGGGCTTATAATTAAGCTTTATAAAGAATTGGTAAACTAACGCAAGTAGTTAACTTAAGGGGTTATAGACAATTTCAATCCTACATTATTATTTGTAGAAAAGAATTAAATTAAAGTCAAAGTAAAAGGAAAATATAAAGCAAAAAAGAACGACTTATTCAATCAAGCATGCATAATGGAGAAAATAAATTAACATCTAAACAATATCTCTCATGTCTGTATTCTCGCAATTCTGTTTTTGCTAAGAAATATTGGAATATTGTATGAAAAACAAGCTTGCAGATGGATTTTCAGTAAAAAGGAAAATTTACCTGGATGAAAGGCAATAACAAGCAAGAAAATCTTTTTGCTAAAAACACGAGTCGACTGTAGATCAGAACTGAAATCTAAATACCAAAATGTCGTGCTAAAAAAATTGTCTCTTTTTATAAGAAAAAACTGAAACAAAAAGCTGGAGACATAGGAAGTAAGGTATCAAATGCATTCACACTTGTGCAAGTAAAGTATGTAAACCAACAACATAAAAAAAAGGTAGTGCGATCCTATAAAAGATCTCACATTATCCAAGTAGCTATTTCTTCTCTTTTTTTCTTTTTTTTTATTTCTCCCACGTTTTTTTTTTCTTTTTGGATTTTGGTACGTTTGTCTCTTGAATTTGACTAAATTAGTATGTTACCCCATGAACTTTTATTGTGTCAAAAATTACCCCTACATTTAATAGAATATTATTGAAAACCAAAATTGAGGAATGATGTTAAAATTATTTTAACCCTCGTGCATGTGATATGGTGTGTTTGGATCGCCATCCAAAACTTGGCGGATAATTTGTCAAATTTAAAAATTTCAGGCACATGTGTACAAATATCCATTTTTCTTTTCTTTAATGCCGGATACCAGTCCTTCCCTTGAAACAAGAGTAAGAATAAAAGCTATCCAGAGTTTCCCTAGAAGTAGAGTTTATGAGTGGTCCCAACACTTGAACAGTATAATCATCTTGCTTACTTATTGGTACATGGATAACCTCTTCATAGAGTTAACAATATGACTCTATGAGGGAAAAGAACTTTTATCTATTTATGTGAAGACATTCCCATGTGGGAAAAGATTAAGATTTAGTTAAGTTTAATATTTTATTTTGAATTTAAAATTATGTTTATCTTTTTTAGGGAGTTATTTAAGATTAACTTTATCTTTTAGGTTTATTTAGAAATAATATTTATCTTATTATTTTGATTTCTCTCCAATTAGTGTTTATAATTTCAATTCAAAGTTTTCGGTTGATTAAAGAATAAATATGGAGATTTCTAGTTACTTTTGTGTTGTTATTCTTCTAAAATCCCTTTTTGCTATCTGTTTGGTTCTATTTCTCTCTCTCTCTCTCTCTCTCTTATGGTTCTTGCTTAGTTATTCATACAGCATAAAAACTTTCTTTTATGTGAAATTTAACTTCCTCTTCTCTTTTTCAATACATTATTTCAGTCCATGAATAAAACAAAACTCACGTACAAAAGAAAAAAGAGTATAAACACATGTAACTCAGTAACAGAACAGATAACAAACTTTCTGAATTATGAAACAAAATGTGAAATAAGTCTAGCTAGGAAAACATAAATTACAGGAATTAAGAACTGCATATGTAATAGTAAGATTTTTCTAAGAGAACGCATACACATTGTACTAAAAAAAATAAATAAATAATGAACAAATTATATAAACATGGGGGTATTGAATCGTAAATGAATCAGTTAAGATTGGCTACAAATATCTTGAAAATTGACAGTAGGGCTGAAGAACATCTTTGGCCGTTGGATGCTCCCATTCTAAAGAATCCCACCATTCTTTTGGATAAGCTTTGATCACTTGAAGAGAAGGAGGCGGGGACGGTTGGTTGTCGAGCGTTGGCGCACAGATAGGGATCCTTTTCAGCTTCTTGCAGTATCGAACCGCGACAACTTGGAGAGTATCGTAAGCTAAAATGCCATAACTACAGATGCTTCTCAGTTCTGATAGGTTCCACAATTGTAGAACTTTTAGCTTTGGGAAATGACTCATGATGGCACCAATCTCTTCATCCCTATACATTTCGTCTGCATCATCACGATCACGATTATCATAATCACGTGGTGAGGCTATTATCTCCACCATTCGTCCACAATCTTCCACATGAAGTTCTTCCAAGTTTTGGAGGCATGTAAACAACTGAGGTGAGAACAAGATCTTTATATCAGGACAGTTGTATATTCTGAAATCTTTAAGGCTAGAAAATGTGCCTGGTGCTACAAGTGATGTCTCGGCTATCCCGTGTAGATTCCTCAGATTTGCGAGGCGCAGCGATTCTAGCCCTTGAAATGGGCCGCAAAAGGAGGATGAATAAAAAGAAGAAATAACATTTTCTATCCCTTCGCAGTTATTGATCACAAGAGTCTTCAAGTCAGTTGCGGTTTCCAATGAAACAATGTCACATAAACTAGCAACATCATGGCACTCATGAATATACAAGTATTGAACATCAGTTGGGAGCACCAAGTAGTCTTCTACTCCTTCCTTGCTCTTCCTTAGATCGCACTTCTTCAAAACCACTCGTTTCTCAAAGTTGCCGCTTTCGATCGGTGAGAAATACGGGTCGTCTAGTCCCACTTGAAGTAGGTAATTGCTGGGCCCTCCTTCCTCAAATGACTTGACATATGCATTGAGGCAGTGGATGTCATAAAATTGGCCTGCAAAAGTCTCTAACTTTTTCAAGCTTGCAACCTCTTTTCCTTTCACTTTTAATGTATTAGATAGCCCGTAAATGACAAAGTATCGGAGACGAGAAAGTTTCGGCAGAGTTCCAACTGGAAACACCTTCAGATTGGGTGCATGGAGATCCAAGTATCTGAGATTGATCAACTTTTCCATACCTTGCGGAACTTCTTTAATTCCGGAGTTCTCAAGGTCCAGCCTCCCCAAAGCAGTCAGTTTTTCCAAGTTAGGCAGATATTGTAGCTTATCACACTCTCTAAGCAACAATGCAGAAAGATTTTCTAAGTCAGAGACTGAATTTGGCAAACTTTCGATGCAAGTATGTGATAGATCAAGAACTTCGAGCCCAACCATGTTCGCAAAAAATGAATGCGGGATCGTTTTTAGATCATTATGCTGTAGCATCAGAGTTGAAAGTCTTGGACAGTTTGGTGAGACACCAACAGGGATTTCTACAATCTTGTTATGCATCAAAGAAACCTTCTCAAGACTTTCTGTCCATTTTTCTTCATCCGGTAAATCTCTCAATCCCTCACCAGCCCTTACCATGAATATTGGATCTGGACCTGTGATCTGAAGAGCCATGTCTCTTACCAAATCATGCATCTTCACACACTTCTTCTCGCACGGGAAATAGTCCACAACACCTTCCAGTAAGCACACATTTTCGAGTTTATTCAAAATAGTGTGACCCCTATCGAACTCTGCTTGCCTAGTCCTCATTCTTTTGATCAGTCCCTCATCGATAAAGCGCTCTATCAACTCCTCTCTTTTGATTTTATAATCTTCAGGATATAAGGAACAGTAGAGGAAACACTTCTGTACAATGGAATCATGCAAGCTTCTGTAGCTCACTCTCAATACTTGATACACATCAGTTTCCATGTCATCTTCTTCACGTTTCGATTGTTTCAGCTTCTCCAAAGCATTCCTCCACTCGCATACGTCATCAACTTCCCTCATGCTTCCAGCCATTGTAATAATTCCAAGCGGCAAACCTGCGCATTCTCTTGCCACAGATCTTGCAACTCCTTCAAGTTCATGAGGAAAAGGAACTCGGCGCTCAAGCTTCTCCATGAACAACTTCCAACCTTCTTCCCCAAAAAGAGGCTCCACTTTGATGTTCACATGGCAACCCAACTTTCTACACACATCCAAAGACCTTGATGTCAAAATCAATTTGCAGCCACTTGCTTTAACAGGAATTCCGACCTTTTCTGGAAGAAAATGGTTCCACACGTCATCTAAAATTAGGACAAGCTTCTTTCTTCTCATCAAAGCTTGTGCCAATCTCGATGCCCTTTTCTTCTCGTCATCCTCATTTGAAATATCAAGAGGCACTACTTTGGCTATGTCATTCTGCAATTTGCGAATGCTAAAGTCTTTCGACACAGTGACCCAATAAACATTGCCGAAAGTACACGACTCCTTCAAAAGCTGGTTATGGATATGTGTCACAAGGGTTGTTTTCCCCACCCCTCCCATTCCATAAATTCCAAGGCTCGAGACCTCCTCCTTCATCAACCATGTACAAATCTTATCCATATTCTCATGAAACACCCGACCGATCAAAGTTGTTGTCAACAAAGCATTTCCTCTTGTCTCATTTGCATCAAGTATAAGCCCTTTACAGAATCGACCTTGTTCTAGAAGTTCTGTCACTTCTCCGGTCAGTTCTTCCACACATTTCCCCAACCGCACACGCGTGGACAATCGCCTCTCTCGCTTCACAGCTTGTTCCATTATCTGGACTTCATCTTTTCTCCTCTTCACGCGTTCCAGCCAGTTTTCCACTTCCCTTTTTCGTCTCTTTAAAGACAGTGACTCTGCATATTCCAATTCACTAATTACATCATCTTCTCTGCAGGTCAGATCTTCCAATTTTCTTTTCAGCTTTTGCATCTTCTCATTCAGATTCCGGTAATTGCCTATGTATTCTCCAACTTCAAACAATTTTGCCAGGTATTCCATATGTTCCTATTCAAGAAGGAATTTCATTTCAGTTTCAGCAATGAAAATGAAACCAATCTGTAAATACTTTGTACCAAGTGTGATTCGAATTTTCCTATTGATCACTACAAGATTATAGAACTTTGGCAACATCCTATTTAGCAGAAAGTTCTTCAGTTACTTCAAACATATTAAAATTATGTAAAAGAAAATTTCTGGAGATGAATTCTCTAGTTACATTAGAATTTAAGCAAATGCCATTCAATGATAAACTTGGTCAATACCTCTCAGATGCCGAAAATGGGAGAACCTTTTCTTCATGATTAATTAAAGCCTAACGCATGAAATAAGTTAAGGATTCTTAAGATGTTGGAAATCTCGAAGGAGATTATGATATTAGTTTGCGTTAATATGTGGTTTTCATTTGATTAGAGATTTATGTTTTTAGGGTAGTTTTCCACCATCAACTTTCCTTATGTTATTTTGGTTTAGTTTCTCATTTTGTTATTTGGTTTGCCTATAAATTTAGTACATTGTAATTTAAATTTAGAAAATGATTGATGAATGGATATTGAGATTTCTGTTTTTCCTCCAACAGAATTCTTCTTCTCTCTAGAATCCTCGATTTTCGCTCCTTGGGTTCTACTTCTCTATCTTGTTTCTATCTTTCTATCTTGGTCCTAAATCACCTATCCTCCAAGTCATTAGGCTAACTATGACTAAAAAAGTACAAAAAGAAGGACCAAACAAACAATTAAGCTAATAAAACCATCTGATCAACAGAACCTTCTACTTTATATCCACATATCTATCTCAAATGCCGAAACTGTATTATAAAGATCATTAATTATTTAGTTCTCAGATTTTCCCATTGGGAAGGCATAAACTTAAAATACAGTTTAAAACATAAGGGTACTATAAATAAATAGGAAAAGAAAATGAGGTGAAAAAAAAAAAGTTGAATCAAATTTCTTGAATATATAAACCCGTATTGCAGTTTTGAATATATGAAGGAGAATAAATACAAATGCAATTCTGATTTCAGAGACACTTAAATGAAAAGAAAAAAAAAAAAAAAAAAACAGAATTGAAACTTTTAAGAAACTTGGTAAGGCGGTACTTACTTTGATGATTCAAAGCATCGCTGAGAAAAAGCGGCTAACATAAAAATTTTGATAATTTGCTGAACTGAGAAGAGTTTAGAAAGCCAAAAATGGGGTTCGGTGAAGCAAAATTTGAAGCTAAAATCACAAGCCAATAAGCAATGAAACGTTAAGAAATGTAAAATATAACAAGTGGAGTAGACCTTGGAGTCAATTCAGAAATGCAAACAGAGTGGCCAATCTTTTGATTGTTTGAAAAAGACCAAATCACCAAACTGTGATGACCTATAGAAAGTCATTTGAATTGAACCATGGAATTTTCATCATTAAAATAATCTAGAAGTTATGTACAGAAACACAAGAGAAAAATTATTAAAAAAATATAAGTCAAGTTGACAAAGAAAAACAGAAAAAAAAAAAAAAAAAAAAAAAAAAAAAAAAAAAAAGAAAAAGCCCGTAAGTTGTTGGAAACCAAACTTCATAATAATTGAACATCTCAGTCCAAGTATGATAACTTACAGAAACAAATACTCGGAAATGAGTATTTCCGGGTACTATAATTAGAGGCATCAGAATATAATTTTGGGAAAAAAATGCAATAAAATCAGTAAAATGATTTCTTGTAAAAAAAGGGAAAGAGAAGCAAAGACACAGAACTTTCCTCTTCTTAAAACACCATTTGAATAGTCGCTGTCCTGTCGATGGTCTACTTTGAATGGTTAGCAAGTGAATGAAAAAATAATGTGAGTTTCGAACTCGTTTTAAAATAATTTTATTTTTTTTATGAAAATGAAATTAAAAGTATTTTTAATTTTAAATATAAATTATTTTTTAAAATATATTTAATAATTTTATTAAGAGATTATTTTTAATATAAAAAAATTTGTTAATGTCTCTCTCTCTTTCTCTCTACTCGAGAGAGGAACAAACAGAAACAAAAAATGAAAAATGATTAAAAGTCATTTTTCATTTATCACTCAATTTACATAAAACTAAAAAATCATTTTCATTTCTTTTTTTGTCTTTAATTCTGCCAAACGTTGTTTCTCTCCCATTTTCATTTTTTTGTTCTCAAAAAATGTGAAAAACAGAAACAAAAACAACTCCAAACAAAGCCAACATTTCTCAAGTTACCTTTTTAGATCTACGGGTGTAAGAATTGGGCCCGAACCCGACTAACCCGCTATACCCGACCCGACCATACCCGAAAAATATAGGGTTATTTTTTTTATTAAAAAAAATTCAGATTCAAATAGGCCCAACCCGCAATGTGCGGGTTGGGCCACGGGACAGGCATTCTTTAACCTGCTATGCCCTGACCCGGCTGTGAATACTCATTCCACCTAGTGTAATCTTAAGTATTTAACCCTAATTACTTCACTTCTCTCTCACTCTCAGTTCTCTTCTCTTCTCAGTTCCTTTTGCCGCCTACCTACGCTACCCTCAGTCTCGCCTCCCTCGCCTCCTTCTCAATTTCTCATCTCACTTCTCAATCTCTCGCTGTTCCTTACACTCGCCGTTCCTTAGTCTCCGTTCCTCTTCTTCTTCTCAGTTTCTCACCGTTCTTCAATCTCCGTTCCTTTTCTTATTCTCATAGTCGCCGACTCCCCGCCCCTCTTCGTTTCTTCTTATCAACTGTTAGGAACATCGCGAAGTAAACGCGTTTTGCCGTTTATTCTCATCTACCGTTTCTTCTTCTCAGATTATTTGAAATCTTCATTGAAGACAATGGATGTTATGTTAGTGCTTTTGAATGTGTTGACACTTCTCAGATTTTTCCCGTTGATAGTTGATACTTGATTGGGAATTAGTAGAGTTAAAGCACTTGTTTGATTGGGTGAGCTTCAAGCTTTGGCCCTCAAAATGATGAGGAACTTAATATATGATCAGCTCTCTTAAGCAATTCCATGAGTCAAAAGTAGGCATTTTCTTCTTGTTCAATCAAAACTTAACTGTTACTTCTCGCTCTCTCTGATTAGAAATAAAATACCTTATTTTACTTAAAACAATAATATTTTTACTCAGCCACAAGGCCCACAATAATAGAGAGCCCTACAATTTACTCCGGTGCACAAGGTAGATAGGCCCAACGTCCAAGCCCAACCCGCACAACCCGCAAAACTGAGCCTACCTGAGGTAACCCGAGGGGTTACGGGTTTGTGTCTTATGGAGGATGTTACGGCCCAAATTCCCCTCATCCCGAATGTGGCGGCTCGACCCAAATTTTAGGCCCAACCCGAGCCAACTCGGCCTACTTACACCCCTAATTTGATCATACAAGCTGAAAACCAAGCTTCTTTGGTCCATTTTGACTCTGAAGAAGATTTTACCAGATGTAAGTTCCACTGTATCACCAGTGTTGGCAGGATGCGGCGAAGCTAGAAAATATTCTCAATGGGGTTTGCAAGGCTAGGACGGGTTAAACGGCCCACCTGAGGCCCGACACTATTAATCCAGTTCCAATCCGACCCACTTATATGTTGCTGAGTCTAGGTTTTATGCTTGAAATCTTGTAGTGTTTAGTACGAGGATTCGTGATATAGTTCGAATCATAATTCATGGCTCACTACAGTGTTTTCTCTAAAAAAAAACACTTTTTTAAAATTTTTCTTAAAAATACTTTGTAAATTTCTGGCCCGACCTAATTCTAACCCCGTCAGATTTTATGATCAGGCCAGACTGACTTTTTAAAACCGGCTTAGCTCAGTCCACTGAAAGTAATAGGCCGGGTTCCCATTCAGGCCGTTGGGCTTACTAACATACGAGATACGAAAGGTAATGCCATAAATGGCATTACACCTCTAAAACGACAGCAATCCAAACACCAATAATTAAAAATTGCAATTTTACTACTTCCGTTAATAAAATGTTAATTATTTAACGATTTCAAAAATACATAACTCATTTGTAGAAAAAATCAATATAAGAGGTTTGAATGCAGGATGGAAAAGAGATTTCAATATAAGAGATTCAGGATGGAAAAGTCAATATAAGAGATTTCAAAAATCAATATAAGAGAAAATATGAGAATAAAAGTAAGAAAAAAGTGAGTATCTAAACTTAGATTAAAAATCAACAACTTAACACACTTAACAAACTTTATTTATAGAGTCTTTAGGGAATGCCAACAGAAACATTTAGCTATAAAATTACAATAAATAGCTAATTAAAACGTAATTACAAGAGAATTTCCAATGACTTAGGGTTGTTCTTTTGGAATGAAACTCAGAAAAAGTTTGAACTCGAGTTACAACTTTATTCAAGTT